CTCAGGTGATGTGCGAGGGAAGAAATCTGAAATAGCCCCCAGATTTCTGCCCGGCAAAGAATGATCGCTCCCAAAGGTGAAGGGATTTTGCAGGTGCAGTTAGGGCCCCTAACCAACGGACTTGGAGCGAATCAAAGGGAGATTATCCTGGGTGGGTCTGACCTCATCAGATGAATCTTTAAAAGAAGAGAGGTCCTCCTGCTGGCTTTGAAGAATGAAGCGGCCGTGTTGTGAGGGGAGCACCTGTAAAGGAGGCGAGAGTGACCCAGGGCTGACAACCAGGAAGAAAATGGGGACCTCGGTCCTATGACCGCAAGGAATTGGATTTGGCCAACAGCCAGGATGAATTTGGAAGAAGCCTCGGCTCCAGGTAGGAATGGAGCCACGGGGGGCGGGGGTGCCTGGGGGGCCCGGTCAGTTAAGCGTCTGACTCTTGAGTTCCGCTCAGGTCATGATCTCGAGGTTCATGAGATCGAGCCCCACCTCGGGCTCTGCGCTGGCTGCATGGAGCCTGCTTGGGATTCTCTCTCTCTCTCCCTCTCTCTCTGCCCCTCCCCCATGTTCACACTCTCCCTCTCTCTCTCTCTCAAAATAAATAAACATAATAAATACACATAAAAAAAAACAATGCACCTGCTGGCACATTGCTTACAGCCCCGTGAGGTCTTGAGCCCAGAACCTAGCTACACGTTGTCCACACTTCTGACCCACAGAAGGTGTAAGATAATAAACGGGTGATGATTTAAGCCAACAAGTTTGGGTAATTGTGCTGTAGCAAGAGAAAACTAATACCAATAGGTAGTTGCCAGTCTCCAACATGCATAAAATTCTGAGAGCAATAAAACACTGACTGCTGATTTTTGACTATATACCTTGCCACCTAGAATCAAAGACTATAGTTTCCAGTCTCCCCTGCGGCTGGGTGTGGCCATGTGACTGTATTTTTGCTAATTGGCGGATGACTGGATATTTTGTGTCTACGCGTTAGGACGGCTACTGGAAGGAAGCATATAGCCTAGAATACAGATATAATGGCTGGTGCTCCAGCAGCCATGTTGGGCCACGAAGTGGACTGGGAGGATGGAGGCCATGAATGATGATGACAGGGCAGACAGGCAGAAAGAGACTAGACCCCAAATGGTGCGTGGAACTGCCATCCTGACCTTGGACAGCTGACTTTCAGACTTCCTTTAAATGAGAAACTTTTATCTTGTTTAAGTCACTGTGACTTGGGGGTTTTGTTGTGGTGGTGGTTAAGTACAGCTTATGCTCACCCTACATTATCTCGGTGGGCACCATACCATCTCACAGAGGAGGAAACTGAGGTCACAGAGAAGGTAGAGACGTGCCCACAGCGGGGATCCCACAGCTAACTAAATAACTGGCCCCAGGTCCCTCTGCCCAACACGCACTGCCTCTGACTCTGTGGCGTGAGAACTCTCCTCCATGTCAAACAGATATTTGTAAGAAAGCAGCAGTGGTCTTCCCCCAGAGCAGGTGAGTGAGTGTCCTGCCAGTTGCTCCCACCGGTGAATTTGACCAGTGTCACTTCTCACCCCAAACGCCTGGTGAAGGGCTTCGGGGCTCACCACCTCCAGCCTCTGCAGATGAGGAGGCAGGACAGGTTCCACTGGGGCCTCGGAGCCTTTGCACGTGCTGATCCCTGAGGCAGAGATGCTCTTCCCTGCAGTCACTCCACTGCTCTGTCCTTCCTTCGGGGGCCCACCCCTTCCTTGACCACTCCGTCCGAGGAGCTTAGCCAAGCTAAGCCAACCCCTCACTTCCTTCCCCTGCTCACTGTTCCTTCCTGATACACATCGTTACTCGCCACTAAAGTGCTCACGGTCCACGCCAGCTTGTCCATCAGGCACGGTGGACAGTGCCCAGGGCTCACGGCACTGTCGGGGGCTCCCAAGGTGTTTTCACGTCTTTTAAAATCAGAAGGTAAGAAATGAATGGGATTCAGCCTGACTTACTTGCCATTCCAACCCAGTCGTAACAGAATCTGCGTCATTCTGCGTGAGGGGAGGGGTCCACGCGGCCACGGTGCGGTGCCAGTTACGACTTGTTTCTCGTGCTCCCCGGATGCAGGCTTCGTGGTGAGGACACTTTGCCTCGTCCCCTGCCTCTCCAGTGGCCGTAGCGGGGCTGGTGCATGGTGGTGCGTGCCATGAACGAGTAAATGAACGAATGAGCCAATGAATGCTTCCGGCCGAGGAGGAAGGCCGTGCTTCCTCGGAGAGATCCCCGCTCCCGCAAAGGGCAGCGCGGGTTGGCTGCCCTTGGCCGTGGTCATCCTTGTGTGTGGTCTACCTACTCCTCCTGGATCCCTGTGCCACGTCGGCCCCACCGGAGGACGGTGGCTCCCGTCGTGCGTGGGCCAAGGGCGGGAAGTGGGGGGAGGCGGGGGTTGGGCTCCCGCAGCCCCCTCTCCAGCCACGGGGTGGGGCAGAAAGCGGCAGCACGTATGGCACGAGGCAGGCTGGGACTGACTGAGGCTGCTGGGAAGTTCTGGTAGGCTCCAGAACTTCGTGGGGGCAGAAGGGGACAAGGCCGTGGGAGAAAGACAGGAACCTCACCGTAATGGGATGAACGGTGGCCTCAAAAAAGACTTGTCCACATCCTAATGCCTCGTACTTACGAATGTGACCTTATTTGGAAAAAAGGTCTTTGCAGATGTAATTAAGGATCTTGAGATGAGATCATCCTGGATTATCCAGCGAATCCTAAACGCAATGACCAAAGGCCCAGGAAGGACCAGAGGAAAACAGAGAGATGTGACGATGGGTGACCCAGCCACCGGCCGAGGGAGCCAGCAGCCCCAGAAGCTGGGAGACGCTGGGAATGACTCTCCCTGAAGTCCCTGCACAGGGCACAGCCCTGCAGACACCTTGAGTGTTGACTTCTGGCCTCGGAACTGCGAGCAAACCCTTCGGTTTTCGGCCACCACTGTCGTCATCAGTGGTGACGTCACCAGGCAGCTCCAGGAGACGAACACGCTCACCTTCCCCGAAACATCTGAACAGAGGGAAGGACTCCACACGTACATGTGAGGATTCTCCGAGCAGATGGCCTCAGTGGCCACGGCCAACACCCCCAGCCTCTCAGCAGGGCCCACACACGGTCCGTCACCGGCAGGCGAGGGAGGGCTCAGAGCGAAGGCCTCGCTCGCTCGCTCGGCAGGAGAGGCCGCCGGCCACAGCCAGGGAGGAAGCTTTGTGTTGTGCTCAGAGTTCTCACAAAGGAAGGTCTCGGGCGGCTTGGAAACGGCAGGGAGACCCCAGGCCTGCCCTTTGTGGTCCAGGAAGTCGGCATGGATTCGGGGACTGACACACGGCCCCGGGGGCCTTTGGGAGGGTTGGGGCTGGGGGCCCAGAGACCCCGCTTTTACAAGCATCCCCGGGCGATCGTAGCTGCGGTGATCTCGGTGGAGGCCAGGCTGCGGGGCTCAAATTCTGATCGCGGCACTTGGTGGCTGGGGACTTCGAGTAAACGCCTTCACCTCTCTGCGCCTGCTCGGCATGGCCAGCGGGGACCTCAGGCCACGCCGCGGGAGCAAAGGTGCCTGACGGCAGGTGCTTGGAGAGCAGGGGCGGGACAGGAGGCGATGAGAAACCGCTCGGAGGTGAAAGTGAGCAAGAGGGGTGGAAACCGGGAAGGCAAATGACCTCACGTGCGCCGCCGCGGCCACAACACCCCTGCCCGCAGGAGCCCAAAGGGGTGCCAGACGGGGGAGGCGGGCCAGCAGGTCGCTCTGAGACTGGCCTCTCGGCTTCTTCCGGAAGGTGTGGCTTTTACTTTCCTGCTCTTAGTAGACATGTGGGTACAAATCCATAGCCATCTGCAATGATTAAAACAGCAACTGACACTCACCCCTTATGAATAACAGCCTAACGAGACAGACGATTGGGAGTAGTGAGGACTGTGGTTAACGAGCGCTGTTTGGCTCCAGCCGAGAGTCTCCATGCAGGAACGCGGCCCACGGCAGGCAGGTCTGCCCATTTCTCAAGAGGAACCAGAACTGGCGAACGTGTTTCTCACCCTCAACCTTCTAGTTTTCAAAAACCATGAAGGCCATGGACTCCCTTTCTGAAGACGTATCAACACCATGCTGGGGGGCGGGGCGGGGGGTCAGGCTCGTCCGCAGGCGCATCCGGCCCTCCGGTTTGCGGCTCCGGTCTCTGGCCTGGAACCGGAACACAAGTTCCAGTCCTAGATTGCGCATCAGGACAGTGACAGGAGGGTTTGGAAATCCCGGGGGCTGGAACTTGCTGGGAGCGGTTGTTTCGTTTGAGGCAACGGGGAAGGGCGGGCCGTCTGGCCAAGTAACAGCCGGGCTCCTAACATCCACCAGGCGACCTCTGGGTGCACTTGAGAGTGACAAAGGAACCCACGATGTTGCACGGCTGAGCGCTGCCGAACGCACGGCAAGGAGGTGGGCCCCTGGCTGCCTCCCCCGGGCCCCCACCGGTCGGTCCCTCCCCGGCTCGAGCCCAGAGCCAACAGCTCCCCCCCCCCCCCGCCCCGAACCACTGAAACAATTTGCATTGGACAATGCTGGCGACGGGGCCCTTGCTGCTTCAGTTTTGGGTGTGCACTTCCCCGCCCCCCCCCCCCCGCCCCCAGCCTGCCTTTTTTGTTTCCTTCTTGTGCCTCTCTTTTATTGGGATGACTAAATCTTTAAACTATGTTAGCAGTAAACACAGCTAATTTACCCCCCCCGCCTCTCTGAAACAGCTGTTGACAGCTGCACTGTAATTCAATCAAGGATCTTTGTAGTCGAGCCTCCCCGGTTCACATTTGTGGTTCGGTCCCACCCTCCTGCCTGGAGCCCCACACAGCTGGACCAAGTATTGACGAGCGCCCCGTTCTCCCCGGGGCCTGGCTGACGAGCAGCGCGCTGATGGTGGGGGCCAAGGCGGAGAGTTCTTAGTGAACCAAGGGAGCGGCGACGTCCGGGAGTTAAGAGGGAAAGAACCCGACATCCACGGCCCCAAGAATCAGAACCAAATGTCTCCTTTTATTGGAAAGTCAAAAACCCTCTTTATTTTGTCTATTTATACAGAAAATTCGCTGAGGACCGCTCTATGCAACAGCTGAAGGTACAATGGTCTGACCGTTAATAAATAGTCTTAAATAAGAAAACAAACAGGCCGGGGGTGGGGGGGGGGGGGAAGCGAACTCATCATCCTGAACGAGGGACCGAAGAAGGTGTAAAGTGAGCTTCCGATGGACATAAATAATTTCCTTTGTTTTGTAACAACTATTTACATGTTTCAATGTACAGACGATGCGAGCCAGAGGCCAGTGGGGGTACAAGTGGCCAGAAAACTTGCACCTAGAGCGAATCACACAAAAATCCCCAGATCTGCCAACAGGTAAAACAAAGCACAGCAAAGACAGTGACTCTTCCCTACTGACCGGGCCGAGTGAAGGCTGCAGCCTAAGCTACTGAAGAAGAAAAATAAAAGAAGATAAAAAGGGGGGCTCCGGTGTTTCCAGGAACCAACTTAACCAAGGTGGAGAAAACAATCCCTTGCTGGACGGGACTCCAGGGGCACAGGCCTCATCTGGATGAAGCCTCGTGTGGGTTAGCCTCATCTGGATAACCCTGCTCTAGACTGCCCAGAGCTCCCCAAGGCTTGTGGGGCAGCTAGTGGCTGCGTGCACAGCATTTAGGGGACCCACTGGCCAAGGGAAGGGAGGCTCACACCAAGAGCCACATCAGAAATGGCAACTTGGAGTTGGCACACCCGATTAGGACGTCACTCCCAAAGCGGCTTCTAGATCCTTCCATCTGAGATTGGCATCCAGCAGATCTAAACCACGTCATCTGCTCCTTACTTCAAGGAGCTGATTGTTTGCAGAGCCCTCAACAGGGGCCACCGGGGGCCCCGGTTGGAGCCCAGACCTCAGAACGCTGCTGTCCATCTACGGCCCAACGGGGGAGCCCCCCGGGGCGGTGGCCAGCACCCCCGCCCACCCCACCCCGATCTAGAGCTGGGCTTCCTTGGCACTCCTTTAAATGGGGCCATGTTGGCTAGAGTGCAAGGTGTCGCTACAGGTGCTGTCCCGCTGGCTGTCCCGTCCACTCTGGTATGCCACATCGAGTTTCCTACCGTGAGGAGAGCCGGGAAACCGGTTCCAAAGTCTGCCAGCACTCCACATGCCTATTTTAATCTCTGCCACCACACACACACACACACACACACACACACACACACCCCCAGCTGAACATGTTTTTCCTTCAAGGTCAACACCCCCCGTCCTGCGAGCAGAAATCTGCCGTTTCCCTGCCCGGCTAAATCTTAGATTTAGGCAAGTCTATATAAACAGTGGGCCTCTGCAAGTCTCAGAATGAAACCAGACTGGAATGACGGGGGGGTGGGGGTGGGGGGGTGTCTCCCCATCCTCCCCCAGCCACAGCTTCTGTTTACGAAACCAGAGTAAACCAAGAGATGGGGATAAATTGTTTAGGAAAATATATCTGTAACATCCTAACCATTTTCGTTCATTCGTTTTATTGTGACATTTATTACAGGAACTTCTGTGTTAACTCTCCTTGCGCACAGACACAACGCGCCCACGCCTCGCCGCGCCCCTTTCCTCCCGCTGCTGGGGGGCCCGGCTGAAGGGCGCTCCTAATTACCCCTGGGAACGAGTCAGTGCACGGCAGAGACTTCACAGCCAATGATCGCGGCCGGGCCATTTTTCTTTATATATATATTGTCTTCCTTCAGGCTTTGCCTGCAGCAGCTTGTAGGATGTTGTCCATAGGAGGCCGGTGAAAACCTGATCAAAAGGCATTCACCTCTCAAATTCCTTGACGCTCCCACACCGTTGAGGTTGGGGACGGGGGCGGGACAGGCCTCTCGAGGGGCAGCGGGTCTGCTGGTGCCTTGCCAAGGCAGGGGGTGGCGGGAGACCGAGGATCCTGAAAGAACGTGGCCCCCGAGGATCTGAGCTCCGGGGAGGGACTAGTGGCAGCCACAGGCCCGGACGACCATGTTTCTGTATTTCTTCAGGATGACGTTGGAGCTGTCGTCGAAGTAGAGCACAGAGATGGCGTTGAGCTGCGTGGGGGCACAGCACGGCTTGGGCACCGTCTCCGGGTTGATGAAGTGGACCTGGAACGAGCAAGCGGCGGCAGCGGTGAGACGCGTCGCATCACTCCCCCCCGGCCGCCTCGTTTCTAGAAGGATCACGCGTGGCTTGGGCGAAACGACTGCGCGGGGCTCGCCCTCGGCGCTTCCTGGGCGGACACGGGACTAGCTCGGTTCTGAGAGGGCCCGTTTCCCACGGCAGGGAACCAGAGTACCGACGTCTACACAGCACATGGCTGGGAAGCGAGTGGCCGGGCAGGTCTCCACCGCGGGGCTGCCTGTACAGTGCGGAGGGCTTCGCGGGGTCTCTGGGGGGCCAGGGGCACTCGACCCCCAGCCGCGATGGCCAAAAATGTCTCCAGAACCTGTCAAAGGTCCCCTGGGGGGGGGGGGCCAAATTGCCCCAAGTGGAGACAGAATGGGCCGAATCCTGCCCACCAGCTGTTCCTGCGAATAAAGTTTTATTGGCACCTAGGGCTGCACCTGGCACACTTGAGTCTAGGACTCGCGAGGTTAAAAAGATCTACCACCTGACCCTGTCCAGAAAAAGGTGGCTGACCCCCGGGCTCACCTGTCCTGCCCAAGAAAAAGAGAAAGCAAGGCACACGTGTAATTTCCCATGTTCTAGCAGCCGCATGTGAAAAGATGAAAAAGAAACATGTACAATTCATTTAAATGATATATTTAATTTAACCCAGGGTTTCAAGAATATGATCGTTGCAATACATACTTACCGTAAAGAATCACTAATGACGTATTTTGCTTTTTTGGGGTACCAAGTTTTCAAAAACTAGTGTGCATTTTATTTTTTGGTGTTTTTTTTTTTTTAACGTTTTTATTTATTTTTGAAGGAGAGAGACAGAGAGACAGAGCATGCGCGGGGGAGGAGCAGAGAGAGAGGGAGCCACAGAATCCGAAGCAGGCTCCGGGCTCTGAGCTGTCTGCCCAGAGCCGGACACGGGGCTCGAACCCACAAACCGTGAGATCACGAGCTGAGTTGAAGTCGGATACTTAACTGACTTAGCCACCCAGGTGTCCGTCACCTTCTTTTAAAAATTTTTTAAAAAATATTTATTTATTTTTGGGAGAGTCAGAGAGAGACAGAGCATGAGCGGGGGAGGAGCAGAGAGAGGGGGAGACACGGAATCTGAACCAGGCTCCAGGTTCTGAGCTGTCAGCACAGAGCCCGATGTGGGGCTTGAACTCACAGACCGCGAGATCATGACCTGAGCTGAAGTTGGACACTCAACCAACTGAGCCACCCAGATGCCCCTATGTTTATTTATTCTTGAGACAGAGACAGAGCATGAACAGGGGAAGGGCAGAGAGAGAGGGAGACACAGAATCCAAAGCAGGCTCCAGGCTCCGAGCTGTCAGCACAGAGCCGGACGCGGGGCTCGAACCCCCAAACCATGAGATCACGAGCTGAGTTGAAGTCGGACGCTTAACCGACTGAGCCACCCAGGTGCCCCTAAGTTTTTTTTCTTTAGTTCTGAGACACAGAGAGAGAGAGAGAGAGAGAGAGAATGCAAGTGGAGGAGGGGCTCCACACTCCACAAGGAACCTGACATGGGCTTGACCCCAGAAACCGTGAGATCATGATCTGAGCTGAAACTAAGAGTTGGATGCTTACACTGACTGAGCCAGCCAGGCGCACCCCTAGTGCGTATCGTATTGTACTGTAATGTTGATTTTTGAGGGGGGGAGGGGCAGAGAGAGGGGGACAGAGGAGCTGACAGCAGAGAGCCCAGCGTGGGGCTCGAACTCACCAGAGATCATGGCCTGATCCGAAGTCGGATACTTAGCCGACTGGGCCACCCAGGCGCCCGTAGGGTGCATGTTAGACTCCCGACGCCTCTTGATTCAGACTGGCCCTATTTCAAGTGCTCAAGAGCCACGTGTGATATGTGGTTACCGCGTTGGAGGGTGCAGATCTAAACGATACGAGACCGTCCCGCCTCGTCAGTAGTGACAGTTAAGAGGACAAAACGGGGCGAACGCTTGGTTGGACATCATCAAGAAAGAAGGTCGGGAAGGGAGGACTGAAGACAGAGGCGGGCTGGCTGCTCAGGTTTACTGCCCTTCATGCTCGTGGGATTCTCTGCACCCCACGGAGACCAGGGCTGGTGGCAAACAACGCCCCGGGCCTGAAGGGGCCACACAAGCGCCCCCGGATGAGCGAGGCAGGCAGGGAGTCAGACGAGAGGGAAGAGTGAGGGCTGGGGCACACCGCAGGGCGGACGCGGCCAGCTGACCGCGGCCAACCAAAGCCAGCGAGTTGAATATGCCAAGTGCCCGGGACAGGCCAGGAGTCTGGTTCTTGCTTTGTTTTTATGTCAAACTTGAGGTTTCCAAGCACATGCCAAGGGAAAGCACCCTGTAGAGGCCTCCAGCCTGTGACCTCTGACATGAGCCAGCACACTTGGTAACTTTTTATGACGGACCATTTCAAACCTTACAAATCTAACCGCCCCCCCACCTCCACCCTTGAATCATTTGAAAGCAAATCCCAGACATCAGCTCATTTCCTCTGTATTTCACTAGGACTCTCGGCAGGCAAGGCTTCTCCCCCCACCCCCTTTTATTTTTTTAATGGTTTTTTTTTTTTTTTTTTTGAGACAGAGAGAGACAGAGCATGAGCAGGGGAGGGGCAGGGAGAGAGGGGGACACAGAATCCGAAGCAGGCTCCAGGCTCCGAGCTGTCAGCACCGAGCCCGAGGCGGGGCTCGAACCCACAGACCGCAAGATCGTGACCTGAGCCAAAGTCGGACGCTCCACCGACTGAGCCACCCAGGCGCCCCTCCCACCCCCTTTTAAACATGACCACAGAAGCATCTTTTCGGAATAATCGAAGGGCTCGCTCTGATCCCAGAGTTTCCTCGTGACGAGCGGACGGGGCGGGTGGTCACAGGACGGCTAGGCTCCTGTTGTGTGGGCCATGAAGCAGGGGTCGGAGGGTAGAGTTAGACCCATGGCAGCCCGGGAGACCCCCGGGGCACCTCCCAGGGGCTTCAGGACAGGACCTTAGGGGGCACGTGGGCGCCAAGGAACAGGGTGGGGGCACTATTCATTTCCAGCCCGAGGACTTTCAATCCTGAACAGGGCTCCGGAGTTTACTGCTGGGGGAGGAAGGACCTTGCAAAAGCATTGCTAAAAAGAAGAGGCCTTCTTTCAAAGGGCAGACTGCGGCCCAAGCGAAAGGACCAAAGGAGCTTTTTCTCCAGGAGGTAACATGTGGGTAGGAACATGGGAAGAGAGAGACGGTTTATTCCGAAACAAAAGAAGCCAAAACGTCCATCACAAACACAACTGCAGGACAGAGGGGATGGCCCTGAGGAGGGAGCTCTCTGTCACCAGGAGCATTCAAGCCAGGGACGACGACCGGTTGACAGGAAAGGCCCCAATAACGTTCATGTCAGAGAGCTAGATAATCAAGACCCCTGAGCCTCAGATTCTACACCGAAGAACCAAGTTCCTAATTTTTATCACTACTGCGGTTTTCAGGAGAGTAATAAGAATCACATGCACCAGGGGTCCCAGTGCTAGGCACCCTGATAAGAGCTTAGCTTATTATCACACTGAATCCTCCAGTGACCCCAGGGAAGTTCCACCTGAAAGGCCCCCCTCCACCCCACCTCTCTGTCCTATCGTCCTGTCTGCCACCTTCCTGTCCCTTACTCCTCTCAGGCTTCCTCATTTGTCTACTTGACTGTTTCTCTCCCTGGAAACCGAGGCCCCGAAGGCAAGGACCCCATCTGTGCCGTTCCCTGCGGTGGCCGCTGTTCCCAGTCCGGGTCTACACGCAGGAGATGCTCAGGAGATGCCCTAGGATGGCTGAACCCCCAGAGTTCAAGGGTAGGAGGCAAAGACGTGAACTCGGAAAGGGGACAGGCTCTCGAGCCGGCATGAGCCAAAGGAAGCGTGGATTTGGGGGGTCGGGGAAGGACCTATGGACGTGGGGTAGACGTGCGGACAGCCGAGAACAGTCCCCCAGACAGAGGCAGGACCAGGGCCGACTTCCCCATCAGGCACAGTGACCGCTGTCCGAGATGCCTTTAGGAGCCCAGGAAACTGTTCTCACTTCTTTCAAAACTGGGAGAAATACACGAACTTTAGGGTCAGAGGTTGTTGTACACATTGTTATGCCGATGCCGTTGTAGAAGAGGATTCTTAATCTTTTTTTTTTTTTTTTTTTTTTTTTATGGAGGAAGGGGCCCAGGCGGGATGGGGTGGGGGCCCCAGCCTGGGGGAGCCCGAGGCAGGGTCCGGCCGCCCCGATGGCGGGCGGGCCGCACTCACCAGCGTCTGCACGATGGCGTGGTTGGTGGCGTTCATGTAGGAGTTCAGAGGGAAGGCACACTCCCCCTCGCAGTAGTAAGCAGCATAGCCTTCGGGAGCGATGATCCAGTCCTGCGGGCGAGAGAGGGCGAATCAGGGCAAGTGAGAGCCCCGTACGGCCCACTAACCTCCACGTCCAAACCGCCTCCTGCGGGCCACACTCCGCGCTCCCGGGCACAAAGACCCGGCCCCGGTCCGTCCTGCACAGCGGGGGTCCTGCTGGAGCAGGAGAAACAGATGATGCGCTTTCACGGTCCCCACTGAACGCAGAATGGAGGAAAGACCACCGGGGGCTGGGCTGAGTCCGGAACGGACGCTTGCACGGCTTTGTGGGAAGGTGGCACGACCGAGGGGACGTCCACATTAGCACTGCCAGGTGGCTGGCGGTCTGCGTTCGGCGAAATCTCCGTCTGCCAGTTCGCCCACGTGGGGAACAGACTGATAATCACCCACCACGGGGAGAACAGATAGAGGACCGTGTAGACGAGCCAGCCCAGCCGCCCGGTGCACGCGAGCGGCTTGGTGAAGGATGCACGGCCGTGCCTGCCTTTACGGTCAGGTGAGCACAGCACTACCGTCCCAGCAATACCCACACCCCTCACTGACTCAAGTGCATGGATTCTTCCAGCAGCGGAGTCTGGGGCTCGGTTCCAGCCCGGCCGGGTGCCCCGTGGAGCACGGGAGCCGTGAGTACGAGGGGGCCAGTGCCTTGAAGGTGCGCTTGGGAGCGATCCCCAGGGAAGGGTCTGGCCTCGCCCACTGAACCACAAGTTCACTGAGGAGAGAGCGAAATCGGTGGCCTTGGTGATCTCAACGCCCCATCGGGGAGCCGAGCTCCACGAGGGCGGGCACGCTGTTCATGCTCACGGCTGTGTCTCTGGTGCCCGGAAGAGGGCCCAGGATGCCGGAGATACTCACAAGCAATCACCAGAGCGTATGACCCTCATGCCCGTCCTGGGATACGCCCCCCTGCCCTTCACCCCACTCCATCCAAATGGTTCCGGAGGGAGCAGTCATGGTCCCAGGACGTGATCTCATCCCCCAAACAGCCGACCGGTTCAGGATCAAGCACCCGACCCGAGCTGGCTCCATCAACTCCCTGCCCTGCACAACTGAATCACGGAAGGGGGAGGGAGGGACAGACAGGGCAGGAGGTGGGGGCCGGCCCTCCAGGCAGCTGCGTTCTGGCACGCGGGCTCCCCCGCGTCTGAGAGCAGCCAGCCAGCCGCAGGATGGAAATGGAGTCCACGTGGAGAACGAGGCTCAGGGTCCGGAGCGTTTGGGCTGCTGGTTCTAGCTTGCGTCCTGATTCCGTTCCTGCTCTGGGATCTCACGAGGCGTCCCTGCATCCTTGACCTGGATTGTCCGCCCTAGCGAGGGCCCTTGAGGCTGGAGTCTCGAGTCGAGTAGGTGAGCAACCTGACCCACCGTACGTGTGGGACACAGCCCTCACCGCCCCGGCGGGGGAGCCTGGGGGAGCCCAGCCCAGAGCCCCCACCATCGGGCAGACCCAGCCGACCGCCCTTACCTGCCAGCCCAGGTCTCGGAAGCTGACGTACAGCTCGTGCTTCTTACAGGCCTGCCTCTGGTCACTGCTACTGTTTTCTGCATTGACAGGAAGCAGAGGGGCAGGGCGGGGGGGGGGAGGGAACACGCGCGCGTCAGAGTTCCCTCGGTCGCAGGCAATGGCGTGAGCACGGTCAGACTCAGAAAGCTGGAAGGCGACCTTTCGGACGCAGAAGCTGTTCGAGTATCCGCAGCCTTAAAACCCACTTCTGTCCCCGACGAACGGCCCACGCCAGACGTGCCCGCATTCCCACTCTTCCCGCGCCACCTTAGCCCCTGCCACGCTCCGGGCCCTTCTGCGGACCCTGGGAGTCTTTGTCCACGCGTGTTGTTCAGACGCAGACATGGGCCCAGGTTCCCTGCGGGAATCACACTACGGCCACAGGCCGCCGTGCTGACCCCGGGAGCCCGCTCAAGGGGTCTGCTTCCGTGAGGCCCGCCCACTGGCGAGGCCCACCCTTCAAGAAAGGGCACGAGGGGGCGCAGACGGGGCCTGGGACAAGGCCCCCACCACCAGGAAGAAAGGAGAGGGCAGGAAGTCAGATCCCACTGACCTCCCAGAAAAACACTCTCCTGAGGCTGCTTTCAGGAGTCAAAACTATGCGCTGGGGTTTTCCGGAAGTACGTAAGGGTTGTTGGCATTTGGGTTAGGGCCTGAGCACTTGTGAACATGCCGAAACCCTCGGCTTTCTCTCTCTCTCTCAATCGTGCGCACACTCTCTCATTCTCTCTCTCTCTCACATACACACACACTCGCTCTGTTGCTACTGCATCATCTTCTATCCTGCAGCCACAGGGATCATTTCCCTTAACCATGCCTTGTCTCTCTCCCACCTAAAACTTTCGAGCACGCTTCGAGCACCATCTCTCAACTCCTGCCCTTGGCCTGTCAGGTCCTATGGAACCCGGATTCCTAAACCATCAAGCACTAAGCTCTAATCACACCGGCCTTCTTTCTGTGCTGTGAATCTAATGCCAAGCCTGTCTCTGCCTCAGGGCCTTTGCACTTGCTGTTCTCTGCACCTGAAATGTTTCTTGTGATCTTTGTATGTCTGGATCTACTTGATATTCAAGCCTGTCTGAATGTCGCCCCTTCAAAAAGGTCTTGCAAGGTCACCATTGGATTCCCAGAGCCCAGTGTCCACTGACATTTGTGTAATTAACGCACAACTAAAGGAGAGGTTAGTGCCCCAGCTTCTGTCCATAGCTGTGATGCCTCCAGGCCTAAGTGTCCCAGAAGGTAATGAAACCAGTGGATGAGAGACACAAGGAGGAACCGGGACTGCCTGCTCACCTGGCCCGTACCTGGGAGGCTTCCAGATGTACCCCGTTCCCGCTGCCTGGTCAGGCCTCTCAGATGGCCAGGGGAGTGGCCCTCCTGGTGGCCTCAGGTGCTCCCGGCACCCCCCGCCCCGGTTGAGAACCCAGGACTGAGCTCGCCAGCTCATTTCCCACCCTTGGAGTGAGGACTGGTTCAGGTAAGAGCGAATGGCCCGATCCAAGCCGACAGCACGTGGATGGAAGCGTGCTGGGGGCTTCTGGAAAAAGTCTCCTGATTCCTAAGAAAGACGCACGGGATACGGTGCTCAAGCCTGATGGCTCCACGCGGCCACAGCCTTGAGAAGAAGCCAACTCGGAACACAGAAGGGCAAGGTCGAAAAAGCCGGGCTTCCACTGTCGTGGACTTTGTGGACCAACCAACCCTCGCGCCCACCCGGCCCTGGCACCGCGAGCCGATGGCTTCCCTGGCGGCTGACGCCACTTGATCTGTGCTTCTGAGACTTGCGGCCAAACCACCCAGCGGGTCCTACCTAGGAAGGTGCGTCCCGGTGTGGGGCTGGTGGTCAGCTGGAGCCCAGGTAGAGACCCCGGAGGTGTAGACCCCAGAGCGCACCGGCTCCCAAGTGGAGTCTGACCAGTGGGTGTGGACCAGGGAAGGGGGTGGTGCCCCTCCGGCTGTGGAGTCACATCCCGGTTCTCCTCGTTCGCCGAGGATCCAGTGCCTACTGGGGCGGCCTCGATCGTTCACATCAGTCTCGCACAACACTCGGCTCGTAGCGACAAGCTGCTGATCCTTATCCTTCCGACCCACCCGCGAGGGAGGGGCCTGCTCCTGAAGCCAAGACTTCGCTGCTGACTTGAATTTAAATGATCATAAAAAACACTACACACGAACTTCATTCACACAGACACCCTTCAGCCATTTAAAGCGAATGCCTTGTTTCCTCCAAATCCCACGACACGCCCGTTTGGCAAGAAGCGAAACGTCCACCAGTTTTCCGCCTTCCTCTGATTCACGAGAATTCTCCCCGTGTGGCTTCTAGGTTCATGGGAAATAGTCAGATAAAAAAAAAGGGTATCACTGAATTCCCTTCCCCGGACCTCAACTTCCCCATCTGGGAAGTGGGTGGGGTGGCTCTCTAGGAAGTCACATGTGGCGGCCACAGCAGATCGGGAAACCCCCTCGGACACCTGGGAGACATTACGCTGCCCCAGACACCCCAAACATACGGCCACCTGGGCCACCCCGAGGCGGAGAACAAATCTGAAGTGAAATGGAGGGGGGCGGGAGTGAGGATGGGAAGGACAAAAGAGAAGGAAGAATGGGGTCGGGCTGGCAGAGCAATACTGGACGCGAGGAGGAGGAGGGAGGGCAGGGGGAGGGTGGCAGAGGGCACAGCGATCAGAAAACGGTCTCGGACGGGCTTTCCGGAAACGCTTAGGTGACGAGCCCGTGTTCACGGCTGGGTGGGTTAACCGCACGCGACTTCCACCTTCGTCGGCCTCTGTGAATATTCCCGATTTTATACATGTCTTTATAGTCCAGGAAAGCAATTTTTATTTTCTATTTCTTTTTTAAGTTTGTTCATTTATTTTGAGAGAGAGCGAGCGAGTGCGCACACAAGCATGGGGGAGGGGCGGAGAGAGAGGGAGAGAGAGAATCCCACGCGGGCTCTGCCCTGGCCGTGCAGAGCCTGACTCGGGGCTCGAACTCACACACCGCTGAGATCGTGACCTGAGCCAAAACCAAGAGTCGGCGGCTCAACCGACCGAGCCACCCAGGCGCCCAGGAAGGCAGTTTTTAAAGATTTACAAACCGGTGAGAAAAACTGCGTTGGACTGAGCACGACAGACACTCGGAACTACAGAAATGACCTCGGAGGGGGGGGGGGGGCCACACAGTGTCACTGCCTGGTGCCTCATTCATTCATTCATTCATTCACTGATGCCATCTGTTCTTGGGGGTCTGTCTACTAGTTTGCGGCCACTGTTCTAGGCATTAGAGCTACAGGTGCCAACAAAACAAAGCCCTGCCCCGGGCACCTACGCCTTCCAGTGACAGAAGACAGATGATCAATCAGTGGGTCAGCCTGAGTTGTGTCCTGTCGAGGAGAGCAGTAAGGCCGGAGAGGGGGTGTGTTGCCAGGGGGCCCTGCGATGGAGGGTCCTCGGGAGGAAGTGACATTGGCACGAGAACCGAAAGGGAGTGAGAGTCTGCCAGAGAGGCATCCCAAGGAGGAACGCTCCAGCCCGGGGACGCAGAAGGAGAGGCAGGAGCGTGCCGTCCGTGACCGCGAAGGTCAGCGAGATCCCTGACAGCCCCAGCAGCCGACAGACGGACAGAGGGCCAGGCACCAGAACCTTCCAGGAGCGAGGAGGGGTGAGCGGGGCTCGGCAGCAGGCAGTGTGGACGGGGGAGAAGGCGGGCCTTGCTGACCGAGCTCCGAGGGGTGGCTGGGAGGACAGAGGAGCAGCGGGGGGTCGGGCTCCCCTTCCCCACCTCTGGGCCTGGCGGCCGGAGGGCTGACAGGGGAACCGGCTACGGGGGTCCTCTGGAGGGCCAAGTGGCACTCAACACGTGACGGTCGAGGTCAAGGGAGCCATCAGAGAAGAGCCCCAGAAACCGACCGGGCCATTCACAACGCTGTCCGGAATGCAGAGCGGAAATGCAAAGATGGCCTCCATTGCTGTGGCAGTGCCCGTGGCCACAGGCAGCGATTTCAGTGCACAGGCCTCCCTCCCCGCCTTCCCCGTAGGGAGCCGGAAGGTAGAGGGGAGGGAGGAGGAGCCTCCCCTCGGCCCAGTGACGCGTGGAGCAGCCTGAACAAGACGGGACTGAGCGCGTCAGCTTGGGACAGGGGCGCGGCTACGAAGCTTTATGTCGAGCGCCCGCGCTGCCGGCTGCTCCATGTCCTGGGTATCGACGGATCCGAAGCTACGCGAGGCTCAGTGAGGAGAAGGTGCCAGCATCGATTAGTAATGTCTGCCGTGAGCAGAGGAAGGGTGAGGGTCGGCCCGAGTGCCACTTTCCCCAATCCTGTCTTAAAGCGAAGCAATGATACCTGACTTGATGTTGAAACCCCAGGCCCAACAGACCAAGGCTGCGAGCAGCGTGTGAGGCCAGCTGTAGGTGTAAGTGGGGGGGGGGGGGCGGGGGCACCAGCCCTGCCACCAGAGACCCAGACGCCTGCACTGTAACTCTGGGCCTCCTTGGATCGCTGGGCTGCTCTGGGAGAAAGCGGTCAGGAGTCCTGGTTCAAGATGACCGCGTGTTAGCAGAAAGGCGAGGACAGGGGAGAAGAGGTGACTCCCAGCTCCCCTGTCCCTCTGGTCTGCCCTATCCCCCCGAACCCCACACGGCTTCATCCGCCTCCACCGGCCCCTGCCTGGGCGGCTGACAAGTTACACCCCCCCCCCCCCGCCCAGGTCATCTGGTGGAGCTGCCTAATTACCAGGGGGGTGGGGAGAAGACAGTCGAAGGGAGGCCAGGGACCCAGGCTCTCCATCCCCAACCACACCGTCTACGAGCAGTAGAAGGCTCTGGGGTGTATGTAGGGGGGAAGCGGGGGACGAGCCTGCAGGAGAGAAAGCTCCGTGGTGGACAGCAGGCTGGAGCATGTGGCCCCCCGGCACATGAGGGGCTGCGTATGAGAGAGAATTCAGCTTGTAGGGCCCTAGAGCAGGATTCCCAGCCCAGCACGTGGGGCCAAGCACTTCAAAAGGTGTGAATGAATGTACTCACACATTCAGCCATTCTGGTTTACCAAGTCTGCTGGGGTGGGGCGGGGCGGGGGGAGGCCTTGCTATGGCTTTTAAATTAAATGTCCAGGAAGGGTTTGGATGAACTTCAAAAAGGGCCAGGAAGTAGAAAGCCCCGGGAAGGAGGCAGACCGCAAGCAAGCTAGAAGAGGTGCCACGTGAGGTAGTGAGAGCCCCGTCCTGGGGGTTATGTAAATGGAGACCCGATGAGTGTTCAGGGAGGATGCAGTGGGGGAAACCGGGTGTCGAATTCTAAGACTTTGAGGCCTGGTCCCTCTTCCTTCCCTCCTGAGGCACACCTGCGTGTCGGCTGGCAAGGAATCTGCCCGTGCTTCCTGCCTGGCTGATATGGAAAGACATCTAACGGGGGTCCCTACTCTGACACCCCACCCTGCTCCTCGCCATTCCCAGAACAGCCAGAATGATTCTCATCACCCCTGCCCCCCCCCCGCCCCCCATCGTAGCTCAAAACTCTGCCAAGGCTTCCAAATTTGCTTTGGATGAAGTTCAAACTCAAGACGGGGCTCCCAAGCGCCTGATATGGCTCACCTTGCCAGCCCCGCCGTCCCCTGGTCCCAGCCACCATGGCCTCTCTCTCCCCTCGAAGGCGCCCTGTCACCTCCCACCAGAAGTCTCTGTGCCCGCTCCCTGGGTCACCCTGGTCCAGCCGACCCAGCCAGGCCTCGAGGGCACCTGCTGGTCCCAGAGCTCTTGGGGGACAGTCTTCCCTGAAGTCCCCGCCCCCAATGCATCCGTCCCTAGTCACCACCCCCTGCCTCTCAGGCCTGTTCGTAAGTGTGCCTGGGAGCGGCAGCCACCTCCAGCCTGGCCCAAACCCCGAGGACGGACGGTGGCTGGGCTTTCCCCACTGAACCCCCGTCCCCAGGGCCGGCATAGAGGAGGCTTCCAATGCGAAGGAAGGGATCCAGTTGTTGGATGTTTATTTATTTTTGAGCGAGGCAGAATGTGAGTAGGGGAGGGGCGGAGAGAGAGGGAGACAGAATCCGAAGCAGGTTCCAGGCTCCGAGCTGTCAGCACAGAGTCGGACGCGGGGCTCGAACTCACGGTCTATGAGATCGTGACCTGAGCGGACGTTTAACCGCTTAACCGACTGAGCCACCCAGGCGCCCCGGTTGCTGGATTTTAATTCGGGGGCATGACAGACCCTTTTGAGAAGCCTGAAAACGGACGGATTCAACTGCCAGAAAAGACTGCCTGCAAATCCCCTGCACATCATCTCCAGGGCCACTGGAGTCCATCCAGGGGCCCCTGGGGGGTCAGGAAACCCGACGCTGAAAGCTTTACCAAGCACAGCAACCATCCCTTTCTTCTTCAAGAAGGAAAACGAACAGACACTTAAAAACTGGTCACATGAGGCCAAAGAAGCTAATGACAATACGGGGTCAATCTGGGGGTCGGGGCCGCTCTGCCGACTTACCACCCTATTTCTGAACACCCCCGTGATCCTCCCGCATGCTTCTCGGGCCAGCTCCGGGCCCAGCGGCGGGCAGAGCCGATGAGCTCAGCTCAGAGCTCCCCACGCGGCGGGCAGGCTGGTCCCTGCTGCAGACCCTGCCTGCCCTGCCCCGCAGCCCACCCAGAGCTCCGTGATGGCCTCCGGGGGACGTGTTCCGGCACATCCGTCTGCTGAGTCAACCGCTCTGCAAACACGGTGGCTGGGCCTCCTGTGGCTGCTTCAACAAATCAGCACAAACACGGCGGCTGAAAACACCACTTTATAAGCTTCTAGCTCTGTAGCTCGGAAAGTGCATCACAGGCCGAATTCAGGGCCTCGGCGGGGCCTCGTTCCTCCTGGAGGCTCAGGGGGACATCTGTTTCCTGGTCTCTTCCAGCTTCGAAAAGCCCGCCTTCGCCACGTGTGCCCCACCCCGCCTCCAGCTTCAAAGCCAGCGACATCGCGCCTCGCCGTCCCTCTGACTCGGGGAGAGATTTCCCCCCTTTAAGGACCCACGTGATGACAGCACGGCGCTGGGCCCACCTGGACCGTCCAGGCTTCTCTATCCTAAGGTCAGCTGATTAGCAACCTGGATTCTATCGGCAGCCTTGGTCCCGTTGGCCACGTAAGGAAACAGTCACCAGTTCTGGTGATTAAGGACACGGACATCGGAGGCCTGGCGGGGGCGGGGGGGGGGGCATTATTCTGCAAACAGTTTCCTGAGGAGCCAAGGGATACCCCTTGGAGAGCAGCACACCCAGCCAAGGCGAGGGCGACGGGGCACAGGCTGGGCTCCTCGGAGGCGGTGGGTCATTTCTGCAGCCCACTGGGGACGTGGTCTGCGGGCCAACTTAATTTATTTGCAATTTTCTTTTTGCTCTGGGGGAGAAATCAAGAAGTATCTTTCCCTAACAGAGGTAGCGTCTGCTACGCAGAACGTGGCACGGACCAGGGTGTGGGCACGCAGGCCACAGGCGTCCACCGTGCTGAAGAGGCTGGTCCAGGCCAGCCCCGCCCCAAAACTCATCCCAGCGACCGCAGGCCACCAGATGCCATCAACATCCTGCTGCTTGATCAGCCGGTAGGGAAAGGGACCATGTCTCGGCCAAGCCCCGATGCCGGCACAAAGGCAGGCCCAGGCAGGGCTCAGCAGGCACCTGGTGAATTGTCAGAAAACACTGAACAGGACTGTGGAGGAACCCAAGCTCATCCAGTGCAGGCAGACGCCTCCCGGCAAAATCAACAGGCTCAAATCCCAGGGCTGACACTTACTTGCACTGTGCACTTCCGGACCAGTGACTTAACCCCTCTGAGCCCCACTGTCGCCCCCTCTTCAACATGGGAGGCCGTCCGCCTCAGAGCCTCAAGAAGCACCTCCTGGAAGTTTCTGTTGCGGAATTCACTACCTTCAGGATTGCTATTCATCTCTGAGTTGCGTGCTGTGAAAGATGCTCCCTTTATTTTCGGTTTGTGTTTACTTGTCACAATGCAACATTTCAATGCACCTAAAAGTACCCCCCAAAATACACTGAAAGAGTTAATGCTTTTTCTTTACTTCTGACATCTCAAACAAACGTTCAAAGTATCCCAAATAACGTTCAAAAAAAAACCCCACTACCGCCCATGTGGAACAAGCAGTAAAGCGAGCCATGAGTCTCAAATATTTTTCACCTAAGAAATACAACTAAAGACACAGCAAACTCTCCCTGTTTGTCCTCCTTTCCTCTCCCAAGGAGTGGCCTTCCTGGGGATGTTGGGGCGGCGTCTCCTGCTCTGCATGTTTTCAGAGTTTGCTTTCATTTATTTGGGGCCGTGATTCTCCCTACTTGGAAATTGACATGACTGGCATCTTGTTATACTAACATATACTAACGAATACTAAGGAAACACACTAGTATACATTGTATACTAACGTAATGCACAAATGTGCCGCCATGTGCCTTTCTACACGAACTTATTACTTTATCCAGTTAAAGCAGTGGGATCTGCGCAGCACAGGATTTTGCGGGGTCTGCTTCCCGCTGCATTGGCTCGAGGGTCACCTGCTGAGTACAGGATGAATTCTGGGGTCTTGCGGGGGCCCGTGGGATCCTCAGGGGCTGTGCGTGAACCCTCCCGGCCCGGCGTACCTGCGACGTTGGTCACCCGCAGGGCTTCCTGGTTCTTGGGCGTCTTGGAGCGGTTCTGGCTGCGTTGCTTGCCCCCTGTGGAGCGGGTGCTGCGAAGGTGGACCTCCGTGGCCTTGAAGAAGGCCACCATGAAGGGCTGCTTGTTCTGGGGCCCGTGCCTCCCGATCAGGCCCGCCAACTTGGGGTTGATGCTCTGCCCTAGACCGGAAGCAGCCAAATGCACAGAAGATCAATCATGGGAGAAACGGTGAGCTGGTGAGCAGGGAGGGGCCGCCCGGACACGATTTCTTTCCCGCCTCACGGTTCATTCATGCATCCGTTATCTGTCCACCCGGCGGGTATTTTTATTCGGCATTTACTCTGTGCCATGCTGTTCAGGAGCTTGGGACACAGCAGGGAACCGCACAGAGAAAACCTCCTGCCCTCTGGCCGTGCGGGCAGGTGGGGCTGGCAGGCTGAGGTTTGCAGGTCTCAGGCTAGCGGAAGTCGCATTTACATTTCATTGGCCCGAGCTGGTCATGCGATCCACCGGGGACAGCTGCACACAGCCCTGGTGACTGCCGCCCGAGGCACGGAGGGGCCGTCTGAGCGGAGGACTGCGTGACAGGGAGGGGGGAGCCATGTGGACGTGTGGGGACAGGCGTTCCAGGCAGAGGGCACTACCGAGGCGAATGCTTGGGAGGAGGGAGCGAGGTGGGTTCTCTCAACAAGCAGTGAGGACGCTGGCTGCCTGGCTGGAGCACAGCCTGGGGGGAAGCAGGGAAGAAAAGGGGTCGGGGGATGAATCGTGGGGGACTCTCAGGAGCACAGGTAAGGTCGGGTCCTGTGGGCAACAGCAAACACTTTACCTTTACTCTTGTTTACCGAGTCGAACAGCGCCCCCTCCCCACCAGCCCCCACCAAGTTCAAGTCCGTGCAGAACCTCAGGATGTGACCTGATTGAAAACAGCACCTTTGCGGACACAATCAGTTAAGATAAGGTCACATGGGCTCGGAGGGTGTCCTCAGAGAAAGGCCACACGAAGACACAGAGAGACACGGACCCACATGCACCCACGTGCATCCACCCGGAGGGAAGGAGGCCAGAGAACACGGAAGAACAGTAGGGGCCCCCAGAAGCTGGGACAGGCAAGCAAGGGCTCATTCCTCGAGGCCTCAGAAGGGGTGCGGCCCTGGGGCCTGCGGTCTCCAGGCTTTAGCAAGGTGCGGCCCGCTGTTTTGCGGCCCCCAGTTTGGGGCCTCCCGGTAGCCCCAGGAGACCGAGGCGATTGCGTCAAGTGGCAACCCCGAGACGGCCACCTGCTGCGTGTGACAGAGCCGCGCAGGTGTCCTGGGGGGGGCCGGTGGAGGCTACCGGGGCCGTGGCAGGGAGAGGGGACGGGGGGCTCCTCAACGGTCCATTTCTCAACTCCGTCTTTTAAATTCATTTTTCGTGTTTCGTTTTGAAATAATTATACAGATTCACAGGAGAAGTCGCAGAAGAAAACGCACAGGGACGTGCCCCCCGCGCTCCTTGCCCAGTTTCGCCCAGCGGTCGCGTCACGGGAGTCCCTCCGAAGCTGGGAACCAGCAGACCCTGGAGGGACTGTGAAAAGACACAAGTGACAGAACTTGCTGAGGGACTGGACAGAGAGGGTGTGAAGAGGTGGGGACTCATCCCTGACCTTCCTGCTCTGAGCCTGGGCACCTGGAGGAAAGGAGGGGCCGTTTATGGAGGTGGGGAAACTGAGGCGGGCGTGGAGGTGGGGTGGAGAGAATCAGCCGGGGAGGGGAGGGGAGGGGAGGGGAGGGGAGGGTGGAGGGCGAAAGCAGGTGGTTTCGCGGCCGCGGTCCGCATGTCCACCTGACTCGGGAGGGAAGCTGGCGCGTGGGAAGCACAGCATCCCAGCCTGGGTGCGGCTCCTGGTCCGGGGGGAGACACGGACCTGGGGCCAAACGTGCTCTGGCCCGGTGCCACACGTCCCGGGTTCAGGTCCCGCCTCTGCCACTCAACACCCAGACGCTTCTCAGAGCAGAGCTTTGCGTTCCCCAAGTGCTGGAGAAATGCTGGCTCAGGGCAGAGGTCGGGGGGCCGTCTGGGTGGCAGAGAGGAGCTCACCTGGGGAGGGCGTGTAGCTGGACAAGCGGTACAAGGGCTGAGCCCAGGCATCCTGTCTCCACCACCGAGAGGACCTAGAAGGTCAGAAGGACCTAGAAGGACCTAGAAGAAGCGTGGGCAGGAGGAAGGACACCCAGAGGATATGGGGTCCTGGAGGCAGAGAGGAGAAGGCGGGCAGAATAATCTCGGTGTCCTGTGCTCTGCTGATGGGTGTGCAGTAGGAAGGGAGCCGGGATCAGTCTACCTTTCGGCTGCGGCAACAAGCAGGCCATTGGCCGGTAGGGACTGATGTCCTGCCTCCTGGTGGTTAAGTATCCCAAAAAAGAATAAAGCAAGAGACAGGGGGCAAAGAAAGCCTATCTCACTCGCGAGAGAAGAGCTCCGAGAGGCTGAGTCACCTGCCCAAGGCCACCCAGCTGGGGAGGGGCCGAGCCGAATCTGAACCCAGGCTGCGTACCCACGACAGGAATGCGTCACCCCGAGTTAGGCGAGAGGAGCCAGAGGCGAGCGGGAGCGGAGCTTCTGGAGGCCGCGGGCCCGTCCACATCTGGAATTAACTTCACCTGGAGCCCCCCCAGACGGGCCCAAGTCAGGAAACCCAGCCTCCCAGGGACCAGACCAGCACCAGGGGGTTCGCTTTGGTTTTTTAACAGCCAGTGTTTAGCTTAACCCCTTTAAACGTTCGGCTTTCCTGCATTCTTCAGCAGGGTTTCCTCGAGTTCATGCATTTATAATTCGAACGATTCTATAAAAGAAACCATTAAAGCTGAGCCCCTAGGAATTACATCTTGCCCCCACCCCCACCTGGAAGGCTTTCAGGGCAAGATAAAAAGGCCTCGCCTGAAAAGCTGATGCCGATCTAGATACAGTAAACGCGAGCGCCGTGAGCAGTGTGTGCAGGGAGGGGGTCGAGCTCGCCCTCACAGCTGTCGGCGCACAGCGAGGGCCAGGGACGCACAGCCTCGGCTGCGAAACGGGCAGACAGAGGGGAAGGAAGCGGGTCTTCGGGGGGGTTTAAACCCCCGCAGCTGCCACTGACCACGCCGTGTGGGCCGAGGGAGGTCAAGTTGCATGCCGGGGCCTCTAATTCCTCATCTGTAAGATGGGGGTGATGCCATGGCTCCTGTCCCTGGTACCCAGCCCAAGTTTCATTTCTGCAGCTGTGGCTTGGGGGTGGGCCTACGAGACAACAGCTAGTCCCCCAGCTGCAGCGACTGGCTCAGGGGCGGGCACATGAGCCAACTCAGCCAACGAACGGAGGGGAGGCACCCTGGAAGTTTCCTTTCCAGAAAGTCCCTGGACAAGACTGAGGCAGGAGGAGTGGATGGAGCCCCAGAAATGGCCACCAGTTAGAGACCACAGGTGGGTGACATTTTCGAGTGGGACCGACCTGGTGGAAGGAAGAGGAGAGGCACGGACATGGAACCTCTGGTGATATCCCTGAGCCACTGGATCAAACCGGTCCTGAAGCTTGCTTCTCGCCCCAACCACCGAGATGAATAAACCCCCCGTGACTGTTTAGTCTGAGCTGCCTGCCCGTGTGTCCACAGTCACACGTGTGCACAGGTCCTCATAACTGGGATTGTACTGTTACTGCCGTTTCCTATAAACCTGGTTTTCACGCAATATACCCTGGACATCTTGCCACATTGATGAAACACACTGACCTCATCCCTCGTGGCCACAGAGGAGCCTCACATCTGGAAATGCCTTTACGTCATCCTCTCCTGCCCGTGGACGTTTGCGTTATGTGTTCCAGGCTTCAACAACCACCTTGTTACTGACTCATTAGTTCATTCGGCAGCTATCGACGGCACGCCTGCCGTGGGCCGCCCTGGGCTAGGTGTGCACGTAGAACAGTCAGAACAACCCCCTGGGGGCCCACCGGCGCGGGGCGTGGGGGACGAGCTGAGGGACGGTGGTGATGGCCGAGAAGCAGTCTAGGGCAGGGGCAGGGACAGGGACGAGGGGGACTGGTCAGGGAAGGCTGCACAGTCACAGGGGTCCTGGGAGAGAAATGTTCCCAGCAGAGGGAACAGGAAATGCCAAGTCCCGGAGACAGGCGCACACACACATGTGTGTTTGAAGAACAGGGAGGAGGCGGGGGCGCCTGGGTGGCTCAGTCAGCTAAGCGTCCGACTCTTGATTTCGGCTCAGGTCGTGGTATCGTGGTTCGTGAGTTCGAGCCCCGCGCTGGGTTCTGCGCTGGCCGTGTGGAGCCTGCTTGGGATTCTCTCTCTCCCGCTCTCGCTCTGCCCCTCTCCCACTTACTTTTTCTCTCTCTCTCAAAATAAATAAGTAAATAAACACTTAAAATTAAATTAAAAAAAGAACAGGGAGGAGGCCAGTGGGGCTGGAGAGAGAGAGGGAGGGAGGGAGGGAGGGAGGGGGCCCGACGATGAGGCTGGGTCACTGGGGGCCCTGGCGGGGGCTCTGGATCACATTCTAGGTACGATGGCGGCCACAGAGGGTCTGGAGAGGGGGGACATGGCCAAACCTCTGAGGCCCGCTCAGGGGCGTATGTGGGGTGAATGGTGATCTGGAACGGAGCCCCCTCCCACCGTGCTCTCCTCTAGACCCCCGCACTCGGGTGGCCTCTCTGGGCCCCACACACATTGTGCTGCCCTCCATCCAGCCCGGCAATTCAGGGCAGGGTGGTCCCCTCCACTCACCGTCCCGGCACAGGACAGGGCTCGACACTGGCCAAAGCACGTTCACACAGACCATGGCAGGAGGCACTGAGGCCAGCGGGGGGCACCTCAGCATGGCAGACGTGCCCGAGGAGCACCCTCCCTGAGTCCTGACAACAAACGCTGTCTCCAGACATCGCTAAGTGTCCCCTGGGAGGCCACACGTCCCAGTGGAGAGCCACGGCTTGACCCACGCCTTCCCTAAAGTGACATGCAACCGGAAGCCATTGCCGTCCAGTTTTTAGCTGCAGAATCCTAGAGACAATGTGGCATTTTCCCAAGACCATTAACCGACCAGGCACCTAAACCATTCATCTTTTTTTTTTTAAGTTTATTTAAGAGAGAGAGAGAGAGAGAGAGAGAGAGAGAGAGAGTGCAAGCAGGGGAGGGGCAGGGAGAGAGGGAAAGAG